GCGTACTGACCACCCGTTTGTGATTGAGCAAACATTGATGGTGCATTGCCGTTGTCGGCGTCCGTGTCACTCATAGGTTTGCCCAAATGCTGGCTGACGACGGAGGCTGTCGCGAGACCGGAGACAAGAAACAGACAGAGGAGCATGACCATCGAGAAAGTTAACCCTGCAAACCTTGGGGTTTCTGCAGCCGACGACGTTGTTTTCAGGGATCTGAGGAAAAATAGCATTTTGCCTAATGTTCAAGCCGTCACTACGGGGCTATATTTATATCAGTGGAGTGGGGGCGGTAACCAATTGGTTTTCAGAATTCATGCAATTCACGTTTGCATGTACTGGAAGGCGGGGAATTTAGGGTTGATTGGTCAATCACTTGCAGGGTGACGGTACCATAGCCTGGGCGACACTGTCTCTATCCGTGAACAGTTCACGGCAATCGGGGCGTTTCCACAGATTTGCTACACGGCAGTCAATTTTTTGATATGCAAACGATATATGCATATTTAAATAGTTGTTCCGAGGTACAAATCGACAGTCAACATGTCGACAGTCCAGAAGCGAAATGACCTGTGCGAAAGCAAAAGCTAAGTCATTGGCTAAATTTTTACAAACACTGAGTGTCTCTTGTCCAAAAGATATACATAAATAATGCGACTTTCAATTAGTCAGCCTTTAATGGCTCGACAACATCCCCGTCTAATAGTAAATTTATCCTCTTCAAATTCACAAAAGAATCACTTACAAATACGTACGCCTAAACCATAGCCAGCCTATTGGATGTTTGTGGATATTACGCAGTTGTTCGGAAGTGGCTGATGGATTTTAGCTCAGATATTCGTGTCGCATTTTGGGCCGAGACAAACAAGGTCTGTTTCGAGCGATTTACACCAGCTTCGTGCGTTAATGCCCCCCGAAATTGAACAAGGCAACACGAAAAAGCAAATTATCTCATCTATCACCAAATAATTAATCCTGTGAGATAAACGTCTCTATAAAGACAGTGCTGCAAAGCAATGGTTCAAACAATGCCTGCTGAGTCATCTACGAGGATGTCACATATTACGGGTATATTGACTTCTGTCCGTATTGCAAGATCTGGTCCGGAATGGTGGCCAGCGATTTCGAATATATGAAACTGAATCAGGAAGATCTTATTTCTGACGGAACATGCATAATGCAGGAGCCGTGTATGCTGAGCATGGGCTGAGCTGTGACATGAAGTAATATTAGCTAAGTTAATGCCATCCAGCATTTTTATTCGAGGCACGCTTCAACCACGTGTAAATCCCAGATGCAAATCAGTTTCCTTTATAAGCAGCAAACGATCTGTAGTTCTTCAAAAACTATCAAACGATTTATGCTACGGTAAAGGGGCGATTGGGTAACCAAGAATAATTGCAAACTAGGGTATCTGGCAGAAAGCACACTGGGTAGGTTGGGGACCGCACTGATAAGTCGAAACCCCCCCCTCCCAGTTGGGCCATGTAACGGCAGAATATCTGCGAAACACGTGTCCGAACTTTCGGTCAGTATTTGAACTGCCAGTATGTAAGATATGCAGGGTCTGGGTAAACACCATATTTGTGTTTATTGAAATTGTGTGAGGCGCAGAACGACATACTTTCGAGGGGTGCATTTTAAGTTCGTTTCATTGAAGGAAAATAAGGTAACACGAGCCCACCGGCAGTCAATTGCGGAGAGGTCAACGCTAATCGCAGCGAACAGGCAGGTCATAGTTCGTACCTCGACCACGGATATAATACCAGACAGGCATAGAGGCTGAAGCAATCAAGGCCAACAGGAACAGCCAACAAAAGAAAGGGTTTTCAAAACCTCAGTTCAAACACAATTTGGTCCACGAACTCGTCTCTTCTTCTTCGTCACCTTCGGTGGATGATGAACGCGACACAATATCTGTACCTCGAGTCTTTACCCATATAGATATATATATATGGTAAAGGTATTATACCGTACTCCTGACATAGATACTTGCTAAAAGCCCAGACGCGTGTTTCGCCGATATTCTGCCGCTTCGTGACACAGCTGCGAGAAGTTCGGCTCTTCAGTGGGACCCTCAGCGTTCACTATGCGGTTTCTGCACTGAAGAGCTGAACCCCTTGCAGCTGCGTCACGCAGCGGCAGAATATCGGCGAAACACGCGTCTGGGTTTTAAGCAAGTATATATGTCGGAGTACGGTATAATACCTTTACCATATGTATTTCATACTACTCTTAGTATTACTTGTTTTCAAAATGAGCATTACATGGCTATTCCACAGTAGTCGATTGGCATATAATGTTTACAAAAAGTGGAAGCGTGGAGCACATGGTAAGGGCTGGATGGACTGGAAAGTCTGAAAAAGCACCAAAAGCCACTCCGGCACCTGAGTTTACGTAGAGAGAGAGTTCACTACTTTGGTTGCTCTTATCTGTGCCTTTCACCAGGTTCAGGAGTTCTGTATTCCAACAGTATGTCGCAGTATGCGAGGAATATGCCACTGGAGCTTCCTGATTGCCCGTCATTGTTCAAATTGTACTTGTGCAGGCAGAAACGTAAGTGAGTTCGGGAGTGTTTCCAAATGAAAATGGATAATCGTGAGGCATCTGGGTGTCATGCAATGAGAACCGTGGGATACGAAGCTCGTCTAATCGCCGATTGGCCACTGCATCTGACTGCAGCTAAGGACAGTGCTGTGTATTTTGCGACATGCCAGAAAAGTTTTTGGTCGCATAAGTTACAGGGTATAGTATACATCGCAACACAGGTGCTAGCCAAAAGCCCATTTCATTAAAAAATATATCCTGTGCCAATATATCCAGCATCAATGTTTAATTGGTTTACAGCATAGATGGTAAAATAGAAATCTAAATTCTCTGGCCGTATGGGCGTTGTCGTAGGAAAATTTTTCCACTAACAGTCAAATAAGCGTAGAGTGAATTTCAGTATTTCGACTTGAAAAAGCAACGTCTTCCTACTTTAGACGTCGCTGTCTATTCGGCAAGCAGCATATCTGCTAGACGACCAAAACAGAAAGTGCCACGATTGACAAAAAGATATGGATTAAATTAAAAAATCTGTGAACGTGAATGAAAACAGGTTCCTCAAATTCCGATCGCATCAGGCAATCAAATGTCCCTGCTGTAAAAAACTGGGTGACTAGAGAATTAGAAAAAAAAGCAGCATTTCCCATTGGTTTTCTACGGCGAAGTTGTTTACTAGATGCAAATACCTAACACAAACTGCAGATGAAACCGCGTTTTCATGTCCAATACGGACCAGCGGTATATGGCGCAAGCAGAGACATACACCGCACGGAAGCGAA